GGTTAGTTAGTAGTAGTGTAGTAGTATTAGTAGTAGTAGTAGTAGTAGGCAGTAGCAGTACAGTAGTAGTAGTAGTAGTAGTAGTAGTAGTAGTAATAGTGGTCGTAGTAGTAGTAGTTCGTAGTAGTAGTAGTAGCAGTAGTAGTAGCAGTAGTAGTGGTAGTAGTAGTGTTAGTAGTAATAGTAGTAGTAGTAGTAGTAGTAGTAGTAGTAGTAGTAGTAGTAGTAGTCGAGTAGTAATAGTAGTAGTAGTAGTAGGTAGTAGTAGTAGTAGTGTAGTGTAGTAGTAGTAGTAGTAGTGTAGTAGTAGTAGTAGTAGTAGTAGTAGTAGTAGTAGTAGTAGTAGTAGTAATAGTGGTGGTCGTAAAAATCGTAATAGTAGTAGCAGTAGCAGTAGCAGCAGCAGCCGTAGCAGCAGTAGTAGTAGTAGTAGTAGTAGTAGTAGTAGTAGTAATTGTAGTCGTAGTACGAGTCGCACTAGAAGCCGTAGTAGCGTGAATCGTAGCATTCGTAGCCGTAGGGGTAATAATAGTAGTAGTAGTAGTAGTAGTAGTAGAAGTAGTAGTAGTAGTAGTAGTAGTAGTAGTAGTAGTAGTAGTAGTAGTAATAGTAGTGGTAGCAGTAGTAGTAGTAGTAGTAGTAGTAGTAGAAGTAGTAGTAGTGGTAGTAGTAGTTGTATTAGTCGTCGTAGTAGTAGTAGTAGTAGTAGTAGTAGTAGTAGTAGTCGTAGGAGTAGTAGTAGTAGTAGTAGTCGTAGTAGCAGCAGGAGTAGTAGTAGTAGTAGTAGTAGTCGTCGTCGTCGTCGTAGAAATAGTAGTAGTAGTAGTAATAATAGTAGCTGCTGCTGCTACTACTACTACTACTACTACTACTACTACTACTACTACTGCTACTACTACTACTACTGCCACTACCGCTACCACTGCCACTACCACTACGACCACTACGACCACTACTTTTACTACCACTACTACTACTACTACTTGTACTACTACTACTACTACTACTGCTACTACTACTACTACTTCCTCCGCTTCTGGTTATACTACTCCTACGACTACTACTACTACTACTACTACTACTACTACTACTACTTCTTCTTCTACTACTACGACCACTACTACTACTACTGCTACTACTACTACTACTCCTACTACTACTCCTCCTCCTACTACTACTACTACTACTACTACTGCGGCTACTACTGCGGCTACTACTACTAGTGCTACGACTGCTACTACTACTACGACTACTAGTATTACTACTACTACTACTACTACTACTACTACTACTACTACTACTACTACTACTACTACTACTACTACTACTACTACTACTACTACTACTACTACTACGACTACTACTACTACTACTACTACTACTACTACTACTACTACTACTACTACTACTACTACTACTACTACTACTTCTAGCTAGCTAGCTAGCTAGCTCGGAGCTTGTACCAGTACTAGTAGTAGTCGTCGTCGTCGTAGTGGTAGGGGGAAAGAAGAGGAAGGATACAGGGAGAAGGAGGAAATGAAGAGGGAAACAGGGAGGACGAGGAGTGCCATGGAATGGAGAGAAGGAGTGGGGCGATGGAGTGGGAAGGTCTCCGGAGGAGTGCCGAGGAGTGCAATGGAATGGGGAGGGACGGAGAGGAGAGAGGAGGGAGCAGGGTGGAGCGAGGAGGGAGAGCGAGGGAGGAATGAGGAGGAGGTAAGAGGAGGAGTGCCATGGAATGGGGAGGCGAAGGGAGTAGTGCGATGGAGTGGGGAGGACTCCAGAGGAGTGGGGAGGAACGCAGGAAAAGCAAGATGGAGGCAGTTTCGAGGAGTGGGGAGGGATGCCGAGGAGTACGGTGAAATGCGGAGAGGTACAGAGGAGCGGGGAGGAGTGCGAAGACGGGTGAGGAATGGAGAGAAGTGCGGAGGAGTACCGAGGAGTGCGATGGAGTGCGGAGGAATTAGAGGCGCTGGAGGGCTCCTTGGAGGCCTCTGGAGGGCCCCTTGGAGACCTCTGGGGGACGCTTTCGTGGACTCCTGGGCTTAGCTGCTCCGATACGTAACACACAACACGGAACGTGCTGACAAATGGCCCAACACTTGGGCTCAAAACGGAGACTTGATTGCACCGAAAAACAAGATGGAGGCAGTTTCGAGGAGTGGGGAGGGATGCCGAGGAGCACGGTGAAGTGCAGAGAGGTACAAAGAAGTAGGGAGGAGTGCGGAGAGGGGGGAGGAATGGAGTGAATTGCGGAGGAGTGCCGAGGAGTGCGATGGAGTGCGGAGGAATGGGAGGCTCAGAAGGGCTTCTTGGAGGCCTCTGTAGGGCTGCTTGAAGACCTCTGGGATACGGTTTCGTGGACTCCTGGGCTTAGCTGCCCTGATACGTAACACACAGCACGGAACGTGGCCCAACACGTAGGCTCAAAACGGAGATTTGGCTGCACCGAAAAGCAAGATGGAGGGAGTTTCGAAGAGTGGGGAGGACTGCCGAGGAGCACGATGAATTGTGGAAAAGGTGCAGAGGAGGGGGGAGGATTGGGGTGAAGTGCGAAGGAGCGCCCAGGAATGCGATGGAGTGCGGAGGAAAAGGAGGCTCTGGAGGGCTTCTTGGAGGCTTCTGGAGGGCTCCTTGGAGACCTCTGGGATACGCTTTCGTGGACGTCATCATCGAGTACGACTCGGAATACGCGGCCGGCGTGGCTCAGCGGCGCACCCGGGGGAGGACGAACCTTCGATTTGTTCTTCGTGTTCGTCATGTCTTTGATCAGGTTTCTTCTTATATTTTTCAGAAAAGTGGAAAGCCACACTGGGCAATTTTTGAACGAACGAGCTGATCATTTGGCCGATTGTGGCGCCAATGGGATCTTATGTGGCCCTGCTGATGTTCATCGCTGGGCCGGCCTTGCTGGCTAACCCACATGGTTTTCGAGGACTGGCAGCCCCAGTTCAGTTTCCATACACGCTTTCGTGGACTCCTGGGCTTAGCTACCCTTGTGCGCAACACACAACAAGGAACGTGGTTGATACGTGGCCCGACACGTAGGCTCAAAACGGAGACCTGGCTGCACCGAAAAACAAGATGGAGGAAGTTTCGAGGACTTTGGAGGAATGCCGAGGAGTACGGTGATTTGCGGAAAGGTGCAAAAGGAGTGGGGAGGAGTGCGGAGAGGGGGGGGAAGGGGGAATGAGAACCCTTCGGAGGCTCCCCGATGTTCTTCGCACGCCCCAAGAAGAGGCTCTTCGGAGGCCACTGAAGGCACTTCGGCGGCTCGAAGAGGTTCTTCGGCGGATCCAACAGGCTCTTCGGCGGCTCCAAGAGGCTCTTAGGCGGATCCAAGAGGCTCTCCGGCGGCTCGACGAGGTTCTCCGGCTGCTCCAAGAGGCTCTTCGGCGGCTCCAAGCGGCTCTTCGGCGGCTCCAAGAGGCTCTTCGGCGGCTCCAGAAGGCTCTTCGGCGGCTCCAAGAGGCTCGTCGGCGGCTCGAAGAGGCCCTTCTGAGAGCCCCAGAGGCTCTTCGGAGAGCCCCAGAGGCCCTTCTGAGAGGCTCTTCGGTGAAGGGGGTGGGTGGGAGGAGGCTCTTTGGAGACCCCTCCCTTCACCGTACTCGTTGATTAATACCCTCTGGAGGAACCCTGGCCGTACTAACACCCACCAGGACGCACAAACAACCAACGGGCCACAGTAACACCTTATCTCCCTCCTCCCTGTCCTCCTCCTCCTCCTCCTCCCCCTCATCCTTCTCCTCCTCCTCATCCTCCTTCTCCTCCTGCTCCTCCTCCTCCTCCTCCTCCTCCTCCTCCCTGTCCTTCTCCTCCTCCTCCTCCTCCTCCTCCTCCTCCTCCTCCTCCTCTTCCTCCTCCTCCTCCTCCTCCTCCTCCGCCTCCTCCTCCTCCTCCTCCTCACGCGCGCGCGCTGGACCGCTGGACCTTTAGGTTCCATTTTTCGGTTTGGGGGTGGTGGAAAGATAGCCCGGTGCGCCCTTCCGGGGGGGAACCCGGGCGCAGGTGTGCGGCTGGCGCTGCTGGCGCTGTCGGGCGCGCGTGGGAGGGGGACCCTTTGAGGCACGGGCGCTGCAGTTGTTTTTTTGCATTGGGCGTTTTCGAAAACGCCCGCTTTTTTCACACTGGGCGGAAGTGTTCGCCCGCTTTGGGGCCCTGGGGCCATCACAGATCGATCTGGCTCGACTGATGGCGCAGAGACATGGGGTCTGGGGCTCCTGTCATGATTGTCCTGCGAAGGACAGCAAAAGCAAAACGCAAATGAAAAGCACCGCTTGGCTCGAGCCCTGCAGGGGTCGAGCGAGGGCTGCCCTGCATCCTCGGGGGGCCGGGCGGGCGGGGGCCGTGCGGTCGCCTCGCCTCCGGGCTCACGCCGGCCTGAGGAGGGGTGGAGGACGGTCTGGCGCCCTGGGCGGGGGGCGGCGAGGAGCTGGCGGGTGGACCCACTCCCGGCCTGCCCCAAGTCTATGCTCAGACTTGTCCCAGGCCCACCCTGATCCCTTCTCCCAGGGCCACCCTGGGCCTGACCGTGGTGGCCTACCCTGGGCCTCACCGCAGTGGCCTACCCCGGGCCTAGCCGAATCCCTTCTCCTGGAGCAGCCCGAGGCCTACCCTGATCCCTTCCCCCAGGCCTACCCTCGAGGCCCATCAGCGCAGTGACTTTTGGTCGGGCGACGGGCCCCGCTCCGCGCCGGATCGGGCGCGCGGCACCCGGCCCCCCGGTTCCGGGAGGCAGCTCTTCCCCCGATGCGTGGATGTCTGGCGCGCAAGCGCCAGACATCCACACATCCTCGAAAAATGGTGAGGTACGCGGCCGAAGAAATTGTGAGCTACCCGGTACCCCCATACTTAAGTGGGGGGGTCTAAAGACGTATCGCGGTAGTTTTTGCGCGCAAGCGCCAGGTATCCACGGATCCCCGATCCATGCTGCAGTCAAGGCGCTGAATCACGGACCACCTTGGGCCCAGGAGGGGCTCTAGCGTTCGCGCCGTTCCTGAGGTCCAGATCAAGGGACCTGGTCTTGGCCGAGGTTCGCCGTCAGAGAAGCTCCTTCGATGTTTATCTCGGCCACGCGCAGAGGGGGGTACGGAGAGGGGGGAAGGCTCCTTTGAAGCACCCTGGCCTCGTAGAAGGCGCGGGCCCCATGTTCCAGGAGGTACCTTCCCCGATCCGTGGATCTGGCACCCAAGCGCCAGATCCACAGATTCCTGATGCGAGCGTGGGCCCGATTACCCAGAGGTCCTAGGATCTGATTTTTTCAATCCGCCGTTTTTCCTGGGTTTCGGCCTCCGGGGCCCGTTATCCGTTGCATCGTCGATGCATCGGCGATTCATCGGCCGGCGCCATCCTCCGACCCCGTTTATTCGGACACCACTTTTGGGATTAGGAGGTCTCTGGTGGCCCCCCTGCGAGGATGCAACGTGTAAGGGAGGAGACCGAGGAGTGTGTTCATAAGCCGGATGATGATCGCAACCAGAAGGGTAACAAGAAAGAAGGGCAGCAAGGAGAAGGAGCGGTCGCGACTTCTCCCCTCCTCCCCCCCTTCCCTCCTCCCCTCTCCCGCATCGCCCTCCAAGCCCATGGCCCCTCCCGAAGGAGGGGAGACGGAGAGGATCGGTAGGGGCCAGCAACTGGTGAGCCTCTAGAGGAGACTCTGAGGAGCCTGGGGCTTCGAAGGAGCTTCTAAGGAGCCTCTAGTTATAAAGCATCTCACTGGAAACAAAACAAAACAAGATAGCATCAGGAAAGGATCCAGTTTGCCAGGAAACATCCTTGATTTTCCCTATACGCAGTCCCCGGAAGTCCCGACCCATTCCCTGGGACCCCTTTTTCATCCCGAATTGTTGTTTGACGACATGGGGCCTGACAAAGGCCTCCTGATGCTGGAAGCGGTCAAAAACCTTCCGTAGTGATTTTGTCACGAACCGAGCACGTCTTGGTTTTCGAGCCCTGATCTGGTTCACCAGCGGCCATTCGGGACGATCCGGGCACCCCTGGAACGCCCACGGCGAGGCGCAGCTGCTGTGGAGAGCATCCCGAGGCTGGACAACCGCCGTGAACCATCGAAAACGCCCGCAGAGCATCCCGAGGCTGAAAGACCGCCGAGAGCCAGAAGGCCGAGAACGGCTTGGCTCTTTCACGACGCGAGCATATCTGTCAGGAAGACAATGATCGGGTTGGGAGGATGGGTTCGGGAGAAGTGAGGATATCATTATCCGTCGGCGGCCGAAGGGATCGTTCATTGCATCCGGATGCTATTGCTCATGCCTTTCATCCTCCCAACACCTTCCTCCCAACACGAAAAGTTGTTCCTCAGTCTGGGAAGTATCCCTTCAGGGCACGTCTGGGACTTGACGTTCCCGAGGTCAACTTCCGCATCTGGACTTTTGTCGAGACGCCAGAGGTTTGGGCACGTCTGGGAATGTAGTCGGACCGAGGTCTAAGACGGTATAAGATCGAGGTCGGTTCGGGGAGGGTACCCCGTGTTCTTCGTGCTTGTTGGATGTTCTTGTGCACCTTGGAGAGGGTACCCCTGGATGTTCCTTTGTTTTGTTGGCCGACGGAGGATTTCACGTTTTTGAATGATGTTCTTCTGGCCTAGGTCCGACTGCTCGGAGGTTGATAGACCTCCTGCCCTGACCTGTCGATTAGCGAATTGGACGTTTTCGGTTCGCGAGAGGGCGTCGCGGCCGCCATTTTTGCGGGTCCAGGACCGTCGGTTTCGGTCTTAGACCGTTTTCACAAAACGGTTCGGCACGAACGAAATGGGTACGGAAAGAATGGGTACAATGCCCAACAGCAGTTCCTGTTCATTTTGAACAGGACTCGCTGTCCGCGCCGCCGCGGCCTGTGTCCATTTGCGACAGAAGGCCGCCTGCCCAACAGCGGCCGCCGTTGGTTTGGGACAACAGTGTTGTTGGGCATTGTACCCCATTTTTTCCGTACCCAATTCGGGCGTCCAAAAGGGTGCTTTGCTACAGGGAGGCCTGTCCACCGCCGAACTGAGAACTGCAACTCCCTCCGGGAGAGCGCCCGAGAAGCCGCCCGACCCAGCCGCCGCCGGCGCCCGCTCGGGCGCGGCCGCGGGGGCGCGCGCTTCCGCGCCCAGCGCCGCCGCAGCGCGCCGCCGCAGGTCCCCCGGGGGGCGTCGGCGCCCAGGGGGCAGCCGCCGCTGGGGCTCTGGGGCGTCGCCGTCGTCGTCGTCGCCGCCGTCGTCGTCGTCGCCGTCGTCGCCGCCGTCGTCGCCGTCGTCGCCGTCGCCGCCGTCGTCGCCGTCGCCGCCGCCGTCGTCGCCGCCGTCGTCGCCGCCGTCGTCGTCGTCGTCGCCGCCGTGGGGCCCGTCGCCGCCGCCGCCGGGCACGGCGCCGCTCCGGCCGGGCAGGGCACACATGGCGGGGCTGGCCGCCTGGGTCGCGGGCCTCGCCCGGAGGGCCGCCGCGGGCGCCGCCGGCCCGCACGGGCGCAGGACCCCCGCTGCGGGCAGGGTCTCCGCCATCTTACCACCCACCAAACCACCCCAACCCAACCCGAAGCCCTCAATTTGCCTTCCATTTCCAGTTGGGGGGGTCGGGGAACATTGAAAAAACACATATGGATCCCGTACCCCCCCCAACCCGAAATTGGGGTCTTCGGGTTGGGTTGGGGTGGTCTGGTTGGTAGTCACCATCGGGGATACAGGAGCCCCTAACCCTCATATAACACGATGAAGACGTAGCCTCGCTGAGGTCCCCGTCGTCGCATGAGGGATCACAATTCTGGGCGGGTTGGTTCGATCGATGCACCTGCAGAGAAGACCCCCTGTCCCTGATATTCCTGGCCCTCCTAACTCAGGTGTCCTCCCAAAGGGTTAGGGGTCCTTTTTGGTCAACCACCCCAGATCTTAGCTGCCCTGATACGCCCGTTTTGAAACGCAACGCTCAGAGAAGGAAAAGGTACCCATACTGCTACCTTTCCATCGTTTTCCCAAGGCTCCTGGGAGGCTCTCGTCACCACCGTTGGATTCGCCTCGTCATTCTGCTCAGAACTCGCTCCATGGGAGGTCCGGGGAGTTGTGGTATCAGTACCTATTGGTTTCCAAAGATACGCTCGTTTCGATACGCAACACGTGCCGTGCTCAGAACGTCCGTTTTACCACGCTGCGTGTTGACTCCACGTGCTGGCCCACGTCATGGCGAACGTATCGCGTCCGACCTATGTTTTCTGCCTACGTGTTGAGCTCCGTGTCAATGCGCTGCGTGTTGCGTGTTGCGTGTGGTGGCAGCTTGGCCTCAGACAGCCAGCGTCTCGAAAAAGTCGAGGTGGAGGTTTTTCATATCGAAGTAACCGAAGCCCATGGCACAGATGTTGCCGCTGACGGTCGCCCTGTTTGCCTGCCGAGGAGACGACGGGGAGTCCCCGTCGTCTCCTCCTCCTTCTCATCCTCCTCCCCTCTGCGCCGCAGCGTCTTCGCCTGGCGCGCGCCCGCCCGCGAAGGCGTCCCTGCGCGGCCATCAGAGGCCAATTTTACCTTCGACCTGGGTCAGGGGCTGTGGCTCGCAGGCCAGAGTGGGTTGAAGGCCCTTCAGCAGGCAAGCGAAGGTGGTTCAAGAGTCTCGGCCTCTCGGGGCCCTTCCTGGGCCTCGGGACCGTCAAGAAACGACTCGGGATAAAAAAAATCCGGCCCCGGGGAAGTGGTTGAGAGGTCGGGATGCCTGGGTCTGTGTGTCCTTATGTCGCCGCGCCGTTTGCTCCGGCGCGCGGCCTTCCGTCTCGGCGAGGGCGCCGCGGGCACCGGGGCAAACGCCGCCTCGGGCGCGGTAGGCTTGCCGTGGGGTGTGCCGCGATGCCGGCTGCGTCTGCTGGGCCGCGGGGCTCAGGTCTTGCCGTGGGTTTGCCGTGCTGCGTCGTCCACTTGGGCGCGTCGAGATCAGTCGGCGCTGCCACCTATGTGACATGTCCACCCTCCAGTGCGTCTTGGAATTTCTTGGAGACATCGAGCCTCGATGGAGCTAGATTGTTATCCAGATCCAGTGCGCCTCGGGATTCTGGGAAGGGAGCCCGAGGTTCCAATCGGCAGTGGATGTGGGCACAAGTCTTTCCCGCATAGGACCCCTCCCATCGGTCAGGTCGATCCCGGTCGCACTGGCCTATCATCGATTCGAGGCTGGTCCCTGTTGTATCCTGCTCCTCGGTGCTTCTTCTCTTCCTGTACCCTCGGGGTCATGAGGGATGGGGCTCCAGAGACGAGGTGCCCCACACAGTGTACATCCACCCTGGGATCCCTTCCCATTCTTGGGCCCCCATCTCTCAGGGCCCATCTTTGCACCGACGATCCTGCCAGGAGCGGATTCGACCACCTGCCGATTCGAATCGACACGGCTTCGAGGGTCTCGATTCCGATCT